CTGTGAACTGTGTTCCACTTGAAAAACATTTTTGCTGAAAGATCATATCTCTAGATTTCTGTCACTGAGTAGTAACTGGATGACAATCTGCAGAATTCACCCAGTGGGTGCCAATGTTCAGTGGGGCAGGGGACAGGAATTAGTGGATCGAGAGAAATCTGGTCGTTCCCAGTAAACTCAGAGGGTGTGCTGCTGCATTATCTCCAAAGAATCCTGTCCCACAGTGAGTTACCACTGATAGGCTCCCAAAAGCACGTTTCCAACACTATCCTGAGGCCAAGACGACAGTGGAAATCTAAAAAACGGGGCAGAGGAAGTATAAGAATAGGTTACCAAAGGCATAATGTTTTAAATACACATGTAGAAATCAGGACCACAAAGAACTCGAGACCAAAAAGCAAGACTTTGTACAAAGCCAGATGATATGGCTCCAATCCTAAACAACAACTGTGCATCTGTCTCCATTTGAGAAAACAGTCAGTCTTGTGGGAAACAAGGAGGCAGGAGACTAAAAATACACAAATGGAGGGACTTTAGCAGTTAATGGACTTTAAAGTAGAAAGTCAATGCAGTCCACCTGCTGTGGGTTGACTGACAATGCCATTAGGGAGGGAATTCCAGGATTTTGACCCAGTGACAGTGAAGGAATGGCGATGTATTTCCAAGTCAGGATGGTGAGTGACTTGGAGGGGGCGGTGTTCCCGCATATCGGCTGCCCACGTCCTTCGAAATGGAAGTGGTTGTGGGTTTGGAAGGTGCTGTCTGAGGATCTTTGGTGAATTTCTGCAGTGCATCTTGTAGTTAGTACACACTAGTGTTACTGAGCATCGGTGGTGGAGGGAATGGAAGCTTGTGGATGTAGTGCCAATCAAACGGGCTGCTTTGTCCTGGATGGTGTCAAGCTTCTTGTGTGTTGTTGGGGCTGCACTCATCCAGGCAAGTGGGGAGTATTCCATCACACTCCTGACTTGTGCCTTGTAGATGGTGGACAGACTTTGAGGATTCAGGAGGTGAGTTACTTGCCGCAGTATTCCCAGCTTCTGACCCATTCACTGTGTTAATTTAACAAG